TTAAATATTATAATTATCTGTTGAAAAGATAAAATTGAAAAACTGATTTTAAAATAAAAAAAAAAGGGAATAACCCCAAAAATTTTTTTTTGCTTTAAAATGTTTCTGTTATAATTTAACAAAAATGCCAAATTTAAAGAAATTCTTTGAAAAGTTTTTTTTTATGTCAATGAAATCCCAAAAAATTTAATCCTTTACCGGTCAGAGGACAGGCCAAAACATTCAAGTGTTTTTAGCAATTTCAAATAGGTTTCAAGGAGCATCAATGTTGAAAATAGTAAATAAATGAAAGTTGTCAGTCAATAGAAGTAACAGGTCATTGTTAAATGTTTTGTAAAATATATCTATAGTTTAAAAGATGTTTAACATTAAATACATCTACTTGTATATATATTTTGTACCAATATTTAAACTCCTGTTCAGTAGTACTAAATTTTTCACTGATGCATAATTGACTTGCAGCTTTTATTTCTGACTGCGACTTTTATTGTAACTGTTGTAATACATGTTAGATAAGTGCAGACAGGATGGGAGCATTTAAGATAATAATATAGGTGTAACATTTTGTGTATTTTATTTAAACTAAGTCACAGTTAGTTAACAATCCTAATTATAAAAGTTGTCAGGTATGCTGATGGCAAAAGCTTCTACCCTCGTGACCAGTGCAGATTAAGATAGGTCAGCCCTGATATGCCATCTGATCATGGTCTGCACTTTTTGGTCTGCACTTTTTGCTATTCATTGTGAAATTTTCCATTGAAATGACAAATGGTTTTGTCCAGATTAAAGAGTGGACTAGTTCATTTAGGATATTTAGAGTGGTAAAGGTCATTGTTGAAATGGATAACTTCTGAATCTTGCATTTCACTAAGACCTCTAAAACCTTGAAATTAATGACTACAAAAAATGTTTTGTCAGTCTATTTTAATAGCTGCGTCAATGATAACAATCCTGTTATTGAAACTGTTTCAACCCTTAACCTGCTGAATTTCTTAAATAGACTTGTCCATCTTTCATTTTTGGAACTGCATTATCTTTTTTGGGGATGTCAAGATGAATATCCAAAGTTGGTCAGCCTCCAGTGTAGAGCCTGGTCAGACTGCATGAACACGCAGGTCAGGCCTGATTCCACACTGACAGTCTCACCCTTAGCCTGTTAGTGGTGACTAAAGTTACTCATATGACCAGTACCAAGATTAGCTAGGCGCCTTGGTGAAGCCTGATTTATAATGGTCATTGCTGTTTGCTATTCATTCAGTACATATTTTGATTTTTTTTTCTAAAAATGATGAATGGTTTTGTCTTGATTGAAAGATGGACTAGTCTTTTTATCATAATTAGGGAGGTTAGGTTTATGCAAGTCATTATTGCTCTTAGAAAACCATTAAATAATTATTTAGGGAGGAATTTTGATATCTTTTTCATGTTTAAATTTTCATTGCATTTATGCAATTTTGTTAAGCTTATGTTAAATATTTACAGTTGATTTAAAATTCAAGAATTATTAAACAGTTAAAACAAACACATGTTTATAGTTTAGTGCTTAACTAAAGAATGTTAAATTTAAAGACTATGTAACATTAGCTTGAAAACAATCATTACAGTCAAATCTGTTTGAATTGTCACTTTCAAATTAATGCTGCTTAATTTAAGGTTCCTTATTGGGAAAAAGAAAAGAAAAAAGAAACCCCTCACTTTCAGGGGCAGATAACTCAGATAGTATGATGGTGATCCCCTATTTGTTTTTTATCAAATTTGTTTCAATCATGATTGAAGGTTAACATTTATCATAATCAAGCATAGTTTAAGAAAAAATCTTTGCACCAGTTTAACTTTTTTTTCCTTCGCCTTTGTAAAATAATTACTAAATTTTTTATTAGGGACCTTCAGAAAACTGTCTTAAAAAAGCACTGTTGATAGCTGCGAGTGTACAGAGGTTTTTCTGTATTTGGCTACTCAGTAGGCTTTATACATTTGTTTGACTGTACTTTGATTAATTATTTTCTTGTTAGATTTTTATTTGTAAATGGGCATTTATTGAAATACAATACAGGTTTATTTTAATAATACATTATTTTTCCTCATTTAGTTTTAAAATTAAACAATGTTGCGGAATTAAAGAAATATTTGAAACATTAGCAAAATCAATGAACACCGTCTTGAGGTATTTTAATGAGATTTTTTCCTCTTTTAAGTAGTGTCATACAATACAACAAAGATTTCTTACATAAATCTTTATTTAAAACAGATGTCTTAAATTGTTTTTAATTTAAGTCAATTTATATCAAATTTCAATTATAGTATTTGAAAATTTTGAAATTTACTTCTTAAGATATTAAAACTTGATCTGTTGACATCAAAATAATTGCCTGCCACAACTTTGGGTTCACATCCCATATCATCAAATAATTATGTAAGGAAGCTATCTGGCTAGCTGATGGAAAGTCAAGTTACCAGCTTGTGCCTGAAATAATGCATGAAGTGGTCTTACTCTTAGAAAGTTGTGGTATAACCAGTGCAGTGTCTGTTTCCCTTAAAGGAACTCCACTGAGGTAAAAAAGCATAAAAATGTAAAATTTGAAATTCTTGCATAAATCAAGTTAAGCACCTCAAATTTAAAATCTGCAAAGGGTAATAAAGAAATATACTAAGAACTTAATTAAATAACAACTTCTTGTGTGTTTTTAGCCCAATTTTGTGTAAAAAACTTTTCAATTTTGGGTCATTCTGCATTATTATTAAATTAATCATTCTTGAAAAAGGGGGTAAGGGAGTGATATGAAAATTTGCACGCAAGTTATTGGTCCATGAGATACCAAATGATATATCAAAAAATTCTAATCCTGTCATCTTAAAAAAACCTCAGTGGAGTCCCTTTAAAATTAAAGCAAAAACAAAAGCTGAACATGAGTTATTAAGAATATTTTTAATGTCAATGTTAATACCTCTTGTTTACCTCTGACTAGAACATCTGTAAAGGAAAGGTAAATTGTTACAATAAGTGATGTCATTTATAATGTCAGTGCATGAAACCCTTGATTCTGTTGAAATGTCTGGCTTATTTGCTATTTACATTCTTTTGTTTTAGTAGCAGTTCCCCAACCTACTTCTTTTACTTGTGTAAATTATTTATTAAATTGACATGCACCAAAAATTCATTTGACAGAAAAGTGGATCAAAAATCTTATTATCAAAGCTCAATGAAAGGTTATTTTCTAATGAGCGCATTTATTCTTCTGGCGGCTGTGGCAGTGTGTTAGGGTAAATGACTTTGAACCACTTGTCCCCAGCATTTTTTGGTTTGAAAATTTCCTCCTAGCCTATGGAAGGTAGGTTTTTCTACACATGAGATATTATTTTACATGATAAAATGGATCCAGTGTGATCTGAAAAATATCTCAAAGATACAGAAAAGAATCCATGGTTACTGGATATGTGAATTAATTATTTCTAGTACAGAATTGATCCATGGTTACTGAACAGGTTCATTTAACTAGTAGAGAATCCATGGCTACTGGAATACTAAACTTTTTCTAGTATTAAATTTATGATAACTGGACAGGATCATTATTACTCAAACAGAATCCATGATTGATAGCTTTACTTTTTCTGTAACAAAATCCATAGTTTCTGCCATTTTACTTCCAGTACAGAGTCCATATTTACTAAAAAGATTTACTTACTATTTCTGTTACAAAATCCATGGTTACTCAATAGTTTAACTGTTTCTTATATAAAATCCATGGTACCTGGATAGTTTCACTGTTTCTGATATAAAATTCATGTTTACTGGATAGTGTGTTTCTGATATAAAATCCATGGTTACTGGATAGTTTTACTGTTTCTGATATAAAATTCATGGTTACTGGATAGTGTGTTTCTGATATAAAATCCATGGTTACTGGATAGTTTCACTGTTTCTGATATAAAATCCATGGTTACTGGATAGTTTAACTATTTCTGTTACAAAATCCATGGTTTCTGCATTTCTACTTCCAATACAGAGTCCATAATTATGTACTAGACTATTTCTGTTTCAAAAAATCCATGGTTACTGGATTAATTAACTATTTTCAGAACAGAGTCCAAGATTTAAAGAAATTTAACTGGATTATTGGTAAAGTTATCTTTAAGAGATTTGACTTGACCCACAGATAATTACATAAAAGACCATGCAATCCATTTATACATTAGGATTGCTTTTCATGTGGATTGCTTTTCATGTGTCCCACTAGACTTTAAACATGCCTTTTTAAAATATTTTATTTCATTTATTTTATTGTTTTTACACTGTTGCTGAAGCTTGATTTATTCTAGAGAGGAAGGTTACACCATAAATGTATTTCTTTTAATGTAATTACTTTCTGTTGAAATCACTATTATTCATCAGGGAATTATTCCGGTTAGATCAATACCAAAAAAATTAAGACTTTCTACTTTTCTCTATTCTTGAATTACAATATACAAAATGTTATGTTTAAAATTGCAATGATTTTTAAATCGATATACAGTATGATTAAACAAATATGAAATTTTATGTTTTTGAAGTGTGTCGAAAGAAATCGAACTCTTATCCTACTGCCATGGTACCGGAAATGGTCACATGGCCTCTGCCATTAGTATAGAGCTAGGCAAGCCTACCAGCTGTCTGTGCCGTCTAATCAGGCTCTAGACTATAATATCTCAATTTTTGTACTTTAATATTGATTTAAATCCATTAAACTGTGAATGGACTTGTCCAAATTCAAAGCATTACAAAATTTAATGCATTACAAAAAAAAAAATAATAATAATATTTTGTTTAGTTCATAATCAAAGTATGCTATTTAAAAAGAAGATTAACTGAAATGCAACATTATAACCCTTCACTTTATACCACAAATCACCATTATTTGTCATCTAGATATACTGTAAGCTAAAACAAATCTCCTATCATGTATCAAACATACATGAGAGAGAGAGAAATAAGATGATTGTAAGCAAACAAGCACCTTTGTAATAGATCATCTATCATAAGCTGCAAATTACTTTGTCAATTCACTACCACTTGATTCCGTATAGAAGAAGCTGCTGTGCAGAATTTCCAGTACTTTTTGCCTGACATTACCATTCCCAAGTCAGACATTTACGATTGTCTTATAGCAAAGATTTTAAGTGCACAACGAATTGTAGAACTTTAAGTTTTTTTTTCTATAAGTGGAAGAACGGAATTTTTGTTTGCTTATTTGTGTGAATATGTGTTTTAATGAATGAGTTAGTAATTAGTAAAGTTTCCAAGAGATAATTCTCACAGGATTTGAGAATAGCTGATGAATCGGAGAAATTACATGAGATATTTTTTTCACGATCATTGGATATTGATTCCGGAGAATTTAACGTTTTCGTAATCTGACACTAAGTACTGGGAAGATGAATTGTGCGGTAAAAAATTTGTAACAAGGAGATTTTTTTTGTTTGACAAAAATCAGATTTTTTTTCTAATGTACTTTAAAAAAAACAATCATGAAGAAAGTGTTTAATAAAAGTGTTTATTTTCTGGTAGAGCGGAGGCATGACCTTGAGGATGAGAAGAAGTTGGAGATGAACTCGATGGATGGGAAATGTTTGAAACAACGATACCAAGATCTCAAGGAACAGGATGATCTCCGTGCGAGCAATTTTGCCGAATTACTTAGGGACTCGACTCTCAGGAAAATGAGGAAACTTACAGAATGGAAAAGACCAAAGGTTTTAATAATTATTTAATTTTGATACAATTTAATTACATAAATAGCTAATTACATAAATAGCTCTTACACATTTCTTTATATAAATTTAATTGGCCAGTTTTTATTAGCTCCACTTTTCGAAGAAGAAAGAATTGGCTATGGTCATGACCCTCTGGTCAGGACTGACATCAGCCTTGGTAAACTTTTTCATTTTCTCAGAAACTTCAAAAAGATATTGACTTCAAACATGGTATACATGTTAATTGTTATAAGATCATGCCATTTCAAAAAAGCAAAACGATCTTAAAATATTAATGCAAAGTTATGCCCCTTTTCCAACTTTTAGCCCTGGTAAAGCTTTTTGTTTAAGGTCCATTTTCTAGGAACTATCAAAAAGTTATACATACATTTTTTGTATTTTTTTTTTCAACAAGATTTAGAAAGTACTTCTTAAAGAGGCTTGTTTGGAAAGGGCAATTAAAAAAAACCAACAAAAAAACAAAAACAACAGAATTGTACTAAATAGTGTTTATCATTATTTCATTTGTATTTTAACAATAATCAATTATTGTTATCAAGAGGCTTCAATAATTTATCAAATTTAATGACACAGAGTATCAGAGAAATAAAACATTTTAGATGTTATCAAGCCTAAGCTTGCTCAGGCACCTACAAAATCTACCCATACGACTAGCACAGACTATATGAATCTTACACTGGCTGCCGGTACAGACCGGAATATCTAGCTCGAGGGTGACTGTTTACGGCGGTAACAAGGCTCTGCCTAGTTTCTGCTAAGCAGTCACCCGAGAGCTAGATATTCCCGTCTGTACTGACAGCCGGTGTTTGATTCTTTTTCTTGCCTATTTGTTATCAATTATTTTCAGAACAGAAATTACGAAAACTGATATTTTCATAACGCACTTTTTTCTTATAGTAGCGTATGAACGTACAACTTTATTCATAACGGTTAAGTGACGTCATTCTTAGAACGCAATTCATTCATAAAAAGCACGCAGCAATGACGTCATTTAAAGCACGCGACTTGTCTTACATTGGGGGTGTAAGACAGGGTTTTCTAGCACCGGTGTAAACGGTAGATAATCCTGTCTGATATGCAAGAACAATCAGGCGACACTTCACTGCAGTCAGATCATTGTCTGCACTGTTTGCTTTTCATTCAGTACATAATTTGAAAATTCCCCTAAAATGATGAATGGTTTTGTCCAGATTGAAAGACAGACAAGTCCATTCAAGATATTTATCAAGGTAAAGGTTAATCTTTAAGCTCTAAAGCCCTGGCACCATCTGGTTAGCTCAGTAGGTAGAGTGCTGGACTGTGAATCTGGTGACCCGGGTTCGATTCCCGGACAGTGCCGGTCACTTTCATTGTAATTGATCATGAAATCTTTTCTAAGGTCTTTTGCACTGTACATGTACCTCTGCTCTGGCATGTCCACAAGTTATCAGTTCCTTGTGAAAGTGAAGGCACCTACATGTAGTACTGGTAAACTGCTTGACAGTCTGCCCAGGTACAATGTTGGCTAAACTATGCTCTAGTAAATTCAATGTGGTTTACTGCTGTGATACGGATTGAAAACACTACCACCACCAGTCTTAAGCTCTTTTACTGCTTTTGGGACTGTGAAAGTGAATTATTTCCCTCTATATTATCCATGCAGTCTTCCTAGATTCTGTACTGCTGTTTTATTGTTGATTTTTAAAAAAAATTATTTATGTTTTCCTACCGAAATTCCATTGATTGCTAATGTACTAATGGAAAGATCCTAACAGCCACATTACCACTCCTTCAAATACATGATTAAGTAACAATTGCATGCACAGCAGAAGAGATTTTTTTTTTCAAAAAAATAAAATCATGAAAATCAATTTAGATTCCAACAGCTGGCTTTAAACTTAAGACTGTCATAATAATTATAAGTTATTATGAATGATTAGCTCTTTTGTCTAATGAATCAAAAAGCAAAGCTATGTTTTATTATTGCTAAGTAATACTTACCTGGAATCTTAATTGGTAACATAGAAAATGATAAATAAAGCTGGAGGTTTATTCTTACATTAGGTTTAGTAATCATAAGTTTAGTAATCGGCAGTATTAATACAGCAAATACCTTCAGTATGAGAGGCATTCTTATGTATTATGTGAATATAATTGTTTTATTAGGTATTGTTATATTTAATACACTGATACATATCAGCTTATACAGTCTAACCTGTTTCTAAAGACCACCTCAAGTAAAGAGCACCTATAGAAAATCTGCAAGTAAATATGAACACTGAATTTACCAATATACCCAAATAGGCCACTAGATATCATATCTGAATAACAAATATACAAATGAAATATGATATAAGATATGACCCCTTAATTAAGACCATATACAGAAAAAGGCTATTAGATATGACCTCTTGGTTAAGACCATATACAGAAAAAAGGCTATTAGATATGACCTCTTAATTAAGACCATATACAGAAAAAGGCTATTAGATATGACCTCTTAATTAAGACCATATACAGAAAAAAGGCTATTAGATATGACCTCTTAATTCAGACCATATACAGAAAAAAGGCTATTAGATATGACCTCTTAATTAAGACCATATACAGAAAAAAGGCTATTAGATATGACCTTAATTAAGACCATATACAGAAAAAAGGCTATTAGATATGACCTCTTAATTAAGACCATTTACAGAAAAAAGGCTATTAGAAATGACCTCTTAATTAAGACCATATACAGAAAAAAGGCTATTAGATATGACCTCTTAATTAAGACCATATACTGAAAAAAGGCTATTAGATATGACCTCTTGATGAAGACCATATACAGAAAAAAGGCTATTAGATATGACCTCTTGATTAAGACCATATACAGAAAAAAGGCTATTAGATATGAGTTCTTAATTAAGACCATATACAGAAAAAAGGCTATTAGATATGACCTCTTTATTAAGACCATACTCAGAAAAAAGGCTATTAGATATGACCTCTTAATTAAGACCATACTCAGAAAAAAGCTGGTAGATATGACCTCTTAATTAAGACCATATACAGAAAAAGGCTATTAGATATGACCTTTTGGTTAAAATAGACTGTCAATATGACCTGCATGAAGACCAAACACACTGAATTGTTCATTAGATATGACCTCTGAATAAAGACCATATATAGCAAATAGACCAGATTTAGATATGACATCTGAATTACCCTAAAGACCTTATACTTAAATTTTGGAATAAGTATTTAATTGTCAGATATGAACAACTCTTGTTAAAGTGTTAATTTGTTGTGAGTCTGTTTTCCTTTAAAATTATTTTTAATTTTATGGCTGTTCATTAATTTTGGGTTCAACTGTATTTTAATCAATGAAATATATAGTATAAATAAACCATTTTCCTCATTTGAAATGAGATTTAAATGAAATTAAGTTTTTAAAGTTAGTGAAACGTGTTTAAATCTGCTTGACAGATACTCAGCAGGCATGAAGATTTGTACCATCTGCAGTATTTTATAATTTATACCATTGGGACTGCTATCAGCCATTTTAAATTCTTTTTGATACTACTGGATCAATATTTTATTCTTATATAGGAATTTTAAATCCTTTCCAGAACACAGTTTTAAGCTACATGCCTCCAGATGAGCCAAAATGTTTTTTAAAATAGTCAAACTTAAATATACTTAGACTATTATGAATAGTTACTTTAAAAAAGGTTCAAGATTTAAGTAATAATTTACATGTTATGTGTAATTAATGACTGATTTTGCAGTATTTATCACCATAATGCAGTAACCACTATTTTTGCATATTTTGACCTCTTTAGCAATTAAGTGGATTGTTTGCAATTTGTAAATTGATTTTATTGTTCACTTGACTATAATTTTACTTTTAAATACATTTTCAAAATTTTCATGTAAATTAGCAAGAATTTAATAATACATACATGTTATTTTCTAGCAGATGATGGTCAACTCAAACAAATATCACAAAAAAGAGGACAGAAATATATGCTCTAAGGTTCTTAAAGCAGCACACCTCCAGATTGATGCTAATTTTCATGAAAATTTTGAAAATGTATTTGAATGTATAATATTGTGAAATAACCAAAAGGAAGCAATTTACACATTATCTATGGCACTTACAACCCACGTAAATTACCAAAAAGTGGTCAAAATATGCATTAATGGCCCTTTAACTGCGTTAGTAACGCAGTAGAAATATAATTGTAAATACTGAAAAAATAGTCATTTACCGCACATAACGTATGAAATATTACTTAAATCTTGAATCATTTTACTTTTCCTAAAATCGTAGTACATATTACTCATGTTTGATTTTATTGAAATATTTTTACTCATATGGAGGCATGCAGCTTTAAGTGACATATAATATGTGAATAAAAAAATGTGTTGACCAGTCCATTTCCTTTTTCATACTGAAACATTTCAAGTGTGAAAGTCGTCTCGTACTTGCTCTAGAACCATTCTAAACACATTTATGGTCGTAAAATTCTCGGAAATTCTAGGAAATGGGATTAATAATTATTGAACAGTACTCAGAACTGCCAGAAACTGTTCAAACACTGCCTTGAGAAAAACGTTGGCATATAATAATATGAAACATCAAACATTAAAAAGATGGAGGTACATGTACTAGCGTGATGTGTATAATATCAATATCCAATCCCCCTACATCTGTGACGAAGCCTTAAAACTTTTTTTTTTATCTTAGTTCAAGGAGTTTTAAGACAATGACGTGAAAGCAATTGTTGGACGCTGCTGCATTTTAGAATTGACTAGAAGCAGACGGAATTAAAACTTTACATAACTAATTCCTCCGCAATAGGGGTTTCTTGATTGGAATGGCGTGTCGGGGAAAGGAAATTTTGTATGTGACATTAAGAGACATATTTGTATGGATAAACATAATTACTGGGACGTGGATTCTGATTTTTTCAGAGAGTTGAGAAGTTTAACAGAAGGATGCGGGAATTCTTTTCACGGTTTAGTTTATGGGTTACCTCCTTCAAGGTGATCGAGGGTAAGAGAATTTTTTTAATTATTTAATTGATAGATTTATTTAGAATTTACTTAAAATGTTAAATATTTTTATGTTAAATTTTTAGTGTTGTATAGACCTTAACTCATCAAAATTTTTGTGTGTTTTACTGTTTACACGCAAGAAAAAAACACATGATATTCCAGGACAAAAATATCAAACTTATTAACAACTGATACACATTAAACTTGAAGCTGGTATAAAATTTTGTTGTGGTGACTTTTCCGATACAGTTCTATGTATAACATGTTTATTTACTGGTGTTTGTTACTTAATCAGTAAAATACCGCTTACTGCAATATCAATAAAACTTCCTGTTTTCTGTAATATAATGTTTGGGATATGCAATAATGCATTGTTATATTCTTTTTTATCGTTATTGATCATTTTTTGCCTACGGTCGTATAAAACCTGTGTCATGTAATACATTCTATATATAGAACTTGAACTTCAGCATAGATGTCGGGATGTTGTCCGATAACTATTTATTGTTGAACTCGTAAAGTGTTCGTTTCCCGTCTCATCTGCTTAAAGTATCATTTTGTCATGGTGGGAACTGGCTTATTGTCAAAGTAACCAATATGTATTGTGCTGCAAAAAGAGCATCCTGATAAATACCATGTCAGTTTCATGTGGTATTTTCTCGCTAACGTTTCTCTTGACAACGCTCTTTTGTTACGAGTCGGTAGATGATTCCGGTAATTGAATGAACTTGTCCCGAATGTCTACAAAAAAATAATCTGCTATTCAGGTCAATAAGCAGAGAATATTCCAATATAGATAGAAGCATAGAGAGTATTTTAATATGTTAACGTATATAACATAATATCCATGTAAGACTGTGTAATTTTAATCATTTTTTGCTTTTCATTTTTTTTTTTGGGGGGGGGGGGGGAAATGGATTGAGAGAGGAAGGGAGGCGGGAGCAAGGGTTACATTTTTGCTAACATTCTCAAACTAGGATCTCTTCATTGCATACTTAATTCAGTATAAATGAAGAATGATTATTTAATCAAATAGCTTCTCTCCACTCCTGTTGTCCCAAGTGTTACTGGGACAATTTTTGCATAAAAAATAGATGGAAGCAATGCCCTACCTATGCGTGATTGACATATTCAATTAACTGGCAGCACTATAAATTCTCAGTTCTTCAATATCATAAGTCAGTTTTAACTTTGTCACTGTGTAACATTATTTGTAAAATGTATCTCCCAGTACCAGATTAATTTCCAGGAAGCCATGTAAATCCTATGCCTTTATGGGATTTTGTAATGTGATATTTTTTTTTAAACTATTGCATGTCAGATAAATAGATAAATGACTACAAATACAGATAAAGAATCAATTTTTTCAGCAACAGTTAATATAAAAAAAAAATTGAAATCAAGAATTATTAAATGCTTGGCCATCCATACTGCAGTCTTTAGCTTTTGTTAGACTTGACTGAAAGCATTTGAACAAGTTTTAGTTTTGAGATAATTAGATTTTTAAAAGATACATAAAAACAAAACCTAGGTCATCTTTATACAACTAGTTAATTTGCATTTTCCCTAGACTTCGACTGATTGATTTAAAAATCTCTTTCAAGCAAATATTTCCTTACATAAGTTTTGTTTTATAGGGGAAAGAACATGTATAAAATATTCATGGCATAAAACTGTGAAATTTTTATTGCCATAAAACAATAAATGAAACTAAATGAAAAAGTGGCTAACATACACAAATCTAGAGATTTATACTTTATTTACCAGGATTTTATAAAAAGAATTTAAACTTTCTTTTTTCAGGAAAGTTCGGTACTGCTGTTATGAGCTTTTTCAAGTTCATACGCTGGCTCATGTTCCTGAACTTATTTCTCATGCTGGTAATGGTGTGCGTGATCACCATACCTTACCTTGCCCTCGAGTCCAAGCCATTCAAGGAAACAATTAACGCAACCCAGTCGGATTACCATCGCCAGGCTGTGAACTGTAGTGAGAATTACATCGAATATAGCGAGGAACTATTCCGTCAGGAGTCAACATTTGAAAAAGTCTTAGATTTTCTACAAGGGACGGTAGGTCTTTGAAATGAATTATATAAATTGTTATATCTTTACATCATGCTAAGACAATGAATTGTTAAGTGACAACATTATTTATTTAAGCTTGTGAGGACAGCTTGCAGCCTATTTGAACCACTCTTATGTTTGTATCCAGGCCTCAAGGTTTTAAAAAGAAAATTCTGAGTTCTTTCTCAAATCTCCAATTTTTCATTGGTCAGTTGAATATTCTGTGACATTTTCTGACCAGTCAATCACGTGACATCTGAGTTTGAGCATGAAGAATTTTTATTAACCTTTGCAGTAACTATCTAGTACTGGTGTCACTGTAGAAATCTTTTTATGACCACCGTATGGCTTGAACCCACAATCCCTGGGTTGAGAAGCAGAATACAGTATCTTAGCCACATGGCTGCCCTCCCTTAATATGATTGATTCATTTGAAGGATTAATGTTTATTATCACTTGTGGTTAGGAAAGTGGTCCTATGATGAAATAAGATGCATATTCCCTTTGAATGTTAGCTCTGAAAAAGGTAAACCTATGCCATCAGCATGGTGCCAAGTCAACCCGCATATTCATGTCTTTAAGGCAGTCTAAAATGACTAATGTATAATTCAGGCTGTTTAATTGCAGCACTTTATGGCCACAATCCCTAATAGTAGAGTAATAAATAGTTCTAGATACAAATGAGGATTAGTCCATTAACCCTTACCATGCTAAATATCTTAAATGGACTTGTCCATCCCTCATTCTGGACGAGACCATTCATCAGTTTAAAGGATTTTTTAAAAAAAATATGTAACAAGTGAATAGCAAAATGTGCAGACTAAGATCAGACCGCAAATCCGTGCTGCAAGCAGGCTAATTTATGAGCCCCATTAAAGCATAATTTAAGTGGCAGCATGGTAGAGTTGTGATCACTAGCTGCTAGGGTTCAAATCCCATCTGGGTTAAGTTGTTGTTTCCTTGAGCAAGAGACTACACTCATTGCTCAGTACTTGTTGGTTGTTAGAGTGTCTGTAAGCTACACAACTAAAATAAATTCTGTATAAACCAAAACATAATTTGTGAAGGACAGTATCCCATACAATTTTGATAGCCTTCTGTGTATAAATGTGTGGAAAATTTGTATGGATTAAAATTACTTTCAATGATGTAAATTAAAGATTATTTTATAGGAAAAATGGAGAAAAAAACACGTACACCCGGATACTCAGCTCATTTACTTCAAAGCTTTTAAATATACGGGTATCAAAGTCTGTCCTCTCTTTGTAAAAATTGACATATTTTGACCTATAAGTACACTGTATCTTTCAGTTCTTTATGCCATGTACCTAGATTCTGACTATTATGTTACATGTGTTAACCACACTATTGTTTTCATCTTCTTCATTTCAAAGATAGTTAAGGGTGACAGCATCTGTCATTTCACAGACATACAATTAGCAAATGTTACAGAATTAAGTGTAACATAATAATTGCATTTTACAGGTGCAAAGTTTTTGTAAATAGTTTTTGTTTTGTGAGTTTCGACATATGCATGCATACCTTTCTTATAAGAAGTGTGTACTTTGTAATAAGAAGACTAGTGTGTGTTTTGTTGTGTCGCCTTGAAAAAGGCGACATATAGGGGTTACTTTTGTCGGCGGTGTCGGCGTCGTTGTCGGTGTCGGCGTCCCCTTAAGCTTGTCCTGAGCATAAGTCAGTTATTATCAGTCGGACTGACTTCAAACTTGGTATGCATGCTTCTTATAATGACCCGAAGTGCAGTGCACAAGAACAGGTACTCTGCACCTCTTATTTATTGAGTTATTGCCCTTTGTTAATTTTCATACTTTATTTTTGTTCGGGCCATTTCTCCTATAGTATAAAATCTATGGACTTGAAACTTCATAGGATGATAGATCTCATTAAGAACAAGTGCAGTGCACAAGAACTGGTACTCTGCATTTCTTATTTTTTTGAGTTATTGCCCTTTGTTAATTTTCATACTTTATTTTTGTCCAGGCCATTTCTCCTTAAGTATAAAAGCTATGGACATGAAACTTCATAGGATGATAGATCTCATTAAGAAGAAGCGCAGTGCATAAGAACTGGTACTCTGCATGTTTTATTTTTTGAGTTATTGCCCTTTGTTAATTTTCATACTTTATTTTTGTCTAGGCCATTTCTCCTAAAGTACAAAAGCTATGGACTTGAAACTTCATAGGATTATAGATCTCATTAAGAAGAAGTGCAGTGCACAAGAACTGGTACTCTGCATTTCTTATGTTTTGAGTTATTGCCCCTTGTGTATTTTCATACATTATTTTTGTCCAGGCCATTTCTGCTAAAGTAAAGGCTATGAACATGAAACTTCATAGGATGATAGATCTCATTAAGAAGAAGTGCAGTGCTCAAGAACTGGTACTCTGCATTTCTTATTTTTTGAGTTATTGCCCTTTGTTAATTTTCATACATTATTTTTGTCCAGGCCATTTCTCATAAATTATAAAAGCTTTAGACTTGAAACTTCATAGGATGATAGATCTTATTGATAAGAAGTGCAGTGCACAGAAACTGATGCTCTGCATTTCTTATTTTTTGAGTTATTGCTCTTTGTTGATTTTCAAATTTCATTTTTGTCCTGGCCATTTCTCCTAAACTATATTGTTCACAAGGCGACACATCCGACTCGCGGAGTTCTAGTTATATTAAGAAGCATGTGTTTTCTTGTAAGAAGTGTTTGTTTTGTTATAAGAAGTGTTTGTTTTGTTATAAGAAGTGTTTGTTTTGTTATATTAAGAAGCGTGTGTTTTCTTGTAAGAAGTGTTTGTTTTGTTATAAGAAGTGTTTGTTTTGTTATAAGATGTGTTTGTTATATTAAGAAGCATGTGTTTTCTTGTAAGAAGTGTGTCTTTTCTGCATTGGTTGGGACTTTTTAGTGAATTTTAATATCTATCATAGTTTAGATTTAAATTCTCGATATATTTGTCTGACCATATTAAATACAGCTTGTTTATTACCCTTTATAGACTTTATAAACCTTAAAAATATATGTTAATTTACTTGCCAACTTTTTCATGAATGGAATGTTACAGTTAAAAGTATGGTCTAGTATCTGCTATGAACATTTTAGCCATTATTTCACTAGCCAGCCATTATTTCACTAGCCAGCCGTTAGTTCACTTAAGCCAGCCATTAGTTCACTTAAGTCAGCCATTATTTTACTATTCCTACATTATTTCACTAGTCATGCATTATTTCACTAGCCTGTCATGTTTTCACAAGTCAGCTTTTCTTTCACAGGCCATGTTTGTTTTACAAGTCCTACATTATTTCATTAGCCAGCCATTATTTCACTGGCCGGTTATGTTTTACAAGTCATAGCGAGCCATTATTGTACTTTCTCAAAATTAGCCCATCATTACCATTATTTCACCAGCCAGCCATTATTTTACCAGTCAGCCATTATTTCACTGGCCTGTTATGTTTTACAAGTCATAGCAAGCCATTATTGTACTATCTCAAAATTAGCCCATCATTACCATTATTTCACCAGCCAGCCTTTATTTTACCAGTCAGCCATTATTTCACTGGCCTGTTATGTTTTACAAGTCATAGCAAGCCATTATTGTACTATCTCAAAATAAGCCCATCATTACCATTATTTCACCAGCCAGTCATTATTTTACCAGTCAGCCATTATTTCACTAGCCAGCCATTTCACTAGCTCACCATTATCAATAATTCTCTAGCCAGCCATTATTTCACCAACCAGCCATTATTTCAATAGCTCATATATTTCACTAGCATGTCATCATTTCAAGCTTGCCATTATTACACTAGCCAAGAGTCCTTTTGATTTCTAGTTAAGTATTGTGTTGCATTTTTAAGGTGGTTTTATAAATGGATTTTCAGGGTTGGATGGAGCGAACAGTGTTGTTTTATGGGAAATATCACAACAAAACCTACATAGATGCTGGTGGAGAACCTTATACTTACAATATGGGACTGGCATATATACTGGCCATAGGAGCTTGTTTCCTCATCAGCTTTCTTCTGCTCATCAGGAAGTAAGTTTATAGTCTTTTTCAAAGTTTATAAGCTTTTTCTTTTCTCTAAGTCATAAGAAGTAATTTTATAGTCATTATCAAAGTTTTATCATCTTCTCATGAGAATGTAATTTAGTTTATAGTCTTGATCAAAGTTCATAAGCTTTATCTTCTTTTTTTGGGTCGTAAGAAGTAAGTTTATAGTCTTTATCAAAGTTTTCCAGCTTTCTTCTGTTCTCCAAGATAAGTTATAGTCTTTATCAAAGTTTATCAGTTTTCTTCTGCTCATGAGGAAATTAGTTTATAGCCTTTATCAAAGTTTATCAGCTTTCTTCTGCACCCCAGGAAGTGAGTTTTTTCTAGTCTTTATCAAAGTTTATCAGCTTTCTTCTGCACATCAGGAAGTAAGTTTATACATGTAGTCTTTATCAAAGTTTATCAGCGTTCTTCTTCTCACCAGGAAGAAATTTATAGTTTATCAAAGCTTTCTTATTTTTATAGTCTTAAAATATCAAAGTTCATCACCTCTTTTTCTGCACATCAGGAATATAGAATCTTTGTCTTAGTTTATCAGCTTGCTTAGTTTATAGTCTTTCAAATTTTTAAGTTTAATCCCCTCTTTTTTTCCTCAATAGAAATTAAGTTTACAGTTGTACCAAATTTTATCTGGTTTCTCGTGCTAAGTTTATAGCCTTTATCAAAGTTCTAATTAGAATGTAAGTTTATAGCCTTTTTCAAAATTATAAGCTTTTGTTTGCTTATCAGAAAGTAAGGTTATAGCTTTAATCATGTTTTAAACTGCAGTTGAGCAATCCTAATTAAATTATGTGTGAAGGGTTGTTAAAAATAATATGCTAAACACTACTCTTTGGTAATAAGGTCTTAAATTTAAAGTAATTAAAGGGATTGATATTTGTGTCAAACCCACAAGTACCACCTATTACTTCTTACTTGCATTTTATTTATAAATTTTCAGGCTTTTGCAAAAGGTGTCTTACCATCTGCAAGGCGAAAACTATTAATTACTCCCAACCCCACTTTCCTTTTGTTTTACTGACGAGTTGCTTTTCTTGCATTACCATTTTCGGAACTACAAATTAATCATTTACATACAGTTGACAGCTTTCAGTCTGACTTTTCTATATTTAGAAATATCTTCCATTAATTGTTAAACTTGAGCGCAGATGCACCGTCTTGATCTGGCAATAACTATCTTTGTATCAGACAAAATGTCAGGTGATCGACTCAGAAGTTGCACAATGTTGTATAAATAGAATTGACCTGTCTCGCATTAGTCTGACTTATTCGTAAACATGTCAAATGACTAGAAAATTGTTTCTTAAATTCTAAGAATGTTACGATGATATTTAGATGTTCGTAAATCTGTCGGTTTTCTTCTATCACAAAACATCTGTTAGTATTAATGGTTCATGGTCTGTTAGTAAAAAGATAATGCTAGATCTGTCAATATAAATGATTCACAGTCTGTCTGTTTTCATGGTTCAGATAGTATTTTTTGGTTTATGTCATTTGTGCTGGTACTGAAGGAATACTATTTTAACTATTGACAAAAGTTCATAGAAACTCAAACAAACTTTTCTCTGTCAGTATCTGAATAAAGTGAGTTGACAAATTGTTTAGCTGTTACTTTTGTAATATCGATAAATGGATAATAATTTTATCTTGGTACTACTTAGAAATACAGATTTCTTAGCAAGTACCATTTCATTGAATAGTCAACCAGATGTCCAGCTTAAGATTAAAGCAAGTACTCAATTACTTGCTTATTCTCTGGATTGAGTACTCAGGTTATTTACAAAACTTCTTCAGACTTTTCAAACTTTTAGCCATAATCCAGCTATCTTCCATTTCTGTCAATACCATCCCAAGAACTAAGACAGTATTTGAGCAGCGCCATGACAAAACCAACATAATGGGTTTGCGACCAGCATGGATCCAGACCAGCCTGCGCATCCACGCAGTCTGATCAGGATCCATACTGTTTGCTTACAAACCCTATAACAAATAGAGAAACTGATAGCAAACAGCATGGATCCTGATCAGACTGTGCAGATGCGCAGGCTGTTCTGGATCCATGCTGGTCGCAAACCAATTATGTTGGTTTTGTCATGGCACGGCTCAATTTTATTTATAAGAGTGATACTGTCAGTTAAACATTTTACAAGCCTTAGTTTTAATTTTGTTATTCTTAATTTGTTATTTATTATCTTAGTTCAGCTAAAACTGTAAAGACAACATTTGGCATGGAGACTTCTGTAGCAGCATATACAAACAGAGTCTACGCTGGCTGGGATTATGCCATTACCAACAAAAAAGCAGCAAAAGTCAAAAGTGCAAATCTCTATACAGAATTTAAGGTAAGGCTGGTTTCAATAAATTTTATCAATGATTTTACGACTCATCTACATGTATTTAAATTTGCATAGTTTTGATGTAAAATATAAATACTCTCATTTTAACATTATGATATTATGGACTCTTTTTTTAAACTGAGTTATCATCAGTACTGTCTACTGTAAATCACAGCTTTAAAGCTTTGGGTTCAAATCCACCTGAAGTTGTTAAGTCCTCTCATATGGCCATGTGAAAGGATTTATGATCCAGCTAGCTTATAGAAGGTTTTTTTTCTATTATGGCAATACTTATGCTTATGGGCTGTTCCAAATTCTGAGCAAGGCAAGTTCATTTCATAAATTCATTGTGGTAAGAGTGAATGAATGTATCGAATGACAACAATTTTGATATTTTCAGTCGTGTTTAGACGAGGAGATTCAGAAGAAGAGGAGAGAAAATCGGTCCCCAAATGATCAGGCGACCATCTTTTTTATACGTGTTCTTGTCAATTGTTTTGTTCTGGCTCTACTCGGTGGATCACTATTCCTGGTCTATTTTACAACAGATAGACTGCTTGTGGTAAGTGATCTTTTTACAATGATATATTGATTTTGAAATTTTAGACTCATCCAAACATACACTGCAGCCCCGTTATTATGCTCATGTTTGGTTCAAAGGTCTATGAGCGTTCTACTGAGGTTAGTGTAATAACGGGGCGACAGTGTAGTTGCTTTGTATGCTTACAATTGCCATTTTTTCATTCCTTTGGACATTTAGTTACATTTAAATAAAAGTGATTATTCTTTGCCACCAGTGTGAAGCCAGGCTAGCCTGTGCAATTGTTCAGTCTGACCAGGCTCTATACTGTTGGCGGACCAACTTTTCATTTTAATCTTGATGTTAATAATTGAGTTTATGGACTGTTTCAAAAATAGAAGACCTCAGTCTTCCCTTACATTTTATAATTTCCCTTCACCTTTATTTATTTTCCCCTTTCACACTTTTTTAAATATTTTCCCCTTTCACACTATTTATACTTCTTACACATTAAATCCCCTTCAACTTTTTAATCTTCCCCCAACTTTTTTAATTCTTTTTGGGCACTATTTATATACTGGCTTTCTCAAACTTACATAGGGGATTGTCTGATGATGATGATACAGATAGTCATTGTTCTCTTTTAAATAAACATGCAATTTCAGTACAAACCACTTTAGATATTGAATGTGATGAATTTGTAAACATGTAATCCTTTTATGTTGCTTAGTAACCCTTTTATCTGTTCTATTTTTGTTTCACCATTGCAAGAAGCAGTCTTTGGTAAAACAATATATATGTTAATCAACATTTGAAACCATCCTTTGTTTACATGTATGTATGTTTTTTAAATGCTTGCTACCACTTTCATTGCCAAATACTCTGTTATCAATATTGATTATACATGTATAAAGTTTATGACTGAAAAAAAAGAGTTTTGGTATAGGTCCAGGATTACTTGTTTAGATTAAATTTGTGCAGACTTTGTTGACATAATTACATGTATACAATGTATATGATTGAAAGTATATTTTCCTGAAACAAACAGCCAAGATTAATTTGGTAAAGTATAAGATGTTCAAAATAACAGAACCATTTGTGTCTGTGTGTATAATTTTTTTAATTGACACGTTTCAAAACTTCAATCCAAATGAAAAAGAGACAAGGAGACTTGTTTTTCTTGTAAGTCCATATTTTATAGTTAGTTTAAACATATTTATTTTAGCTTGATTGCAAAACAACTTCTTGCATATATTAATCACTTTTGAGCCCGCTTCCTGGAATAAACCAGTATTGAGGAATCCTGGTCATAAGTCACTTATGATCCGAGTATATAGTTGATGTAACACAAGTTGATATTAGCTTTTGTTTTGTAGTATATATCATATTATTTGTTTTGTTTTTCTTTAATATTTTTAGTTACAACAATTATTGTTCATAATATTATTCCGTTATTTTTGGTATTTCCAGTTACAAGAGCAGGAGCTGAATGAAGTTTTAGCCCTGATAGTCCAGTACCTGCCTTACCTTACTATTACTGTGCTCAATTTTCTCATTCCAATAGTTTTCCAGAAAATAGTTACCCTAGAGGATTACTCTCAAAACAATGCTCTCAGAATTACATTAGGAAGGTTTGTAGTATTATACTATATTAAATTGAGCATAAAATATGCTCTCAAAACAATGCTCTCAGAATCACATTAGGAAAGTTTGTAGTAATATTCTATATTAAATTGAGCATAAAATATGCTCTCAGAACAATGCTCAAAGAATCATGTTTGGAAATTTTGTAATATAATTACATGTAACAATACCAAAATAAGCTTTTGTTTTCTTTTTATTTTTTCTGTATTTGAATTGAATTTTCATATTGGAATATATGAAAGAATATAAATTGTATTTTTAGTGTAAAAAAAATAATAAAATTAAAACATAATTTTTTAAGCAAGAATACATGTATTATGAAAGAATATCAAGTAATTGTGTCATAATTCAGGTCTATATTACTGCGGCTAGCTTCACTGGCCGTGCTGATAGGGTCTCTCTATAGACTGCTAATCATCAATGCTGACCCAGCGGATGGTTTCTGTGGTAACAGATTGTGGGAGAAAACAGTGACCACAGCTCGGGGTAGTATTAAGGTAAATGGTTTTACAATCATCAATTAGCCTGAATTAGCTCAAAAGGGGCATGATTGGATAAGTATTCTAGGGGTCATTGGTTCAATCAGCAGACGAGGTGTTTCTCTGAGACATTAATTGATTTTATCTCAGATATTGAGTCTGATGGTCATTTGTCTCGCATTGCTGGTTTAGAAATCACGTGGGATTAATAGTTGATCATTTATGGAGGAATTGGTAATTACTGGTTTGTATTGTAGGAAATCCAGTTAAGTGGATCGACATTGGCTTTATGACCAATAACCTGTATTAAAATTAGCCTAAAAAAAGCAGAAGAAAAAGATCAATCATGTTGTGAGGAAGCTATGAGATAATCCAGCTACCTTTCTTAAAGGTTGATCATTCTGCTTGGTGCCTACTGATGCCTGAAATAATGCATTGAGTGGACATCTGTGGTCTTTTACCACCTGAAAAGTTGGAAATTCACAATTATTATGATCTTAACAATGTCATCGGGTCTTACTGATAAACAAGTTTTGGCAGAAAAGTTAAGGTATTTGCCAATATGTATACATTTGTACATGAATATCAAAAATTGCCATAACTTGTACTAATAACAATGAAACAATGTTAATTAGAATCAATTGCTTGTAAAAGTAATGTTATATTCACTGTGTATGTTGATAATATTATATTTAATATTTATTTTACATTTATATTTGATAATTTACATTACAGTGTTGGGAGACATATGTTGGTCAACAGATTTACAAACTGGTGTTGTTAGATCTGGTGGTAGAAACTAGCATTATAGTGTTTGTACAGTTACCTAGAAGGTCAGTGCATTTTTTGTCAACATGTGTGATAAAATGTTCTAATTGTTATCATTTAAATGGCCATAGTTATATTTGAAAATAAACAGTACTTATTAGTTTCGTTTGAGAACTTTTGCGACACAGTGTCATGTGATAATCATGTGATAAACACACGGGATATATTTGCTACAGACTGGTATAGTTATGGCCATTTCATTTTGTTACGCCTTTTTTAAATCACTTGTTAACATTAAAGGAATAAATTGAGACCAATTCATGAGCCGAAGTCCTAATGTTTCAAAGTTTTTACGCAAGTTCCTTCAACTTCTACTGTACGAGGGTTGTCCCAAAATGTCGTAGACTACATTATTTTCTTTTCAACCTGACGTCATAACTTAATAAAATTTACCAGATATCTTCCTTGGTCATTTGTTAATTTACCTTCTTAAAGTAAATAGCCAATATATAAGGTAACGCTTTTTATCAGGGTTTTATATTAAACAGTACAACATACCCGGAGCACGATAAAATATTAGTCAGTGTTGAGAGCATGCTTCTTAAAAACATGCCTTTAACTTCCAGCATAATAATAATTATAGGAAATACATTCCTGTGGAACGACGTCATTCATTTTTACGTCATATCACCAACAGACGTTTATGTAACGCTACTTTGAAAAAATCTGTAGCATAATATGTAACAGCAATGCTATTTTGAAAATTCCCAAAATGGCGACGTCAGATGAAAATGCGGCGCAGCGCGATGTCATTGAATACTGTGTTCAGTTCAAGAAGCGTCCAGCATTAACTGACAACATAGAGAACATTATATTTTATCAAGATAATGCACCTTGTCATAGATCTCAGGAGACACAGCTTGAACTTGATGTGATAGGTTTTTAGAGACTTCCATACGCCCCTAGACTTTGCAGTGTTTCCTTATGTGAAATCACAATTACGAGGTCACCCTGAGGTTCGAAAATTTCAGGGTACTAAGCAAGGAAAATCGACGAGTGTTGAGAATATTAAAGTAGGACTATTTTGAAAATGGTTATGATAAATGGGTCGCCCGACACCGACAGTGGATCGAGAAACACGGAGAATACTTTGAAAAACATTTTTTTAAATCTTGTAACGTCATGACGTTTATGACGGCGTGCGCCGGGTATGTATAGGTAGCATTCTTTAAATTTTAATTACTTGGTCATTTTTGGAGGTATTTTGATTTTATTTCGCATAGACACACATAAAAGGTGTATTGACTTTTCCCTACGTTGACGACGCTATTGTTTTTTAATTGATTGAGTAACAGACTTTGTCTACGATATTTTGGGACAACCCTCGTATGTCAATTTTGTATTCACAAATAAACCTGAAATGTGTTGTATGTTTTACAGGTTGATATATGACAGATATGGCAACACAGTTGGTATTGTAAAGAAGTTAGGTCCTCAGGAGTTTGATTTACCTCAGAATGTGATAGATATTATATACTCACAAACACTTTGTTGGTATGTATCTATTTAAGCTGCTGACCTATAAAAAAAATCACTATTTCATGGTGATGATTTTGAGGTTTATGCTGCCAAACTATCAATTTTTTTTCTTCACTATTATAATGTGATGATTTGATTAATGCAGCATCTTTGAATTTTCTTGATACTCGTGAGAAATTAGTGAGAAATTAAAGCCCGTCTGCTTTGGTCATTATGTAAAGCCTTTCCAGCTACACATGTAGCGTACGGAACATCAGTGGTTCTACTCAAGTGCCCATTTGTGCCTGAAATAATGCATGGAAGAGACCCAAAGTCTTCCTCCAACAGCAAAGCTGGAAAATTGCCATATGACTTATACTGTGTTGGTGCAACGTAAAGCCAAACCAAAAAAAGGAAGAAAAGATGTAACCCCTTAGATCTGTGGATTTCTGATTTACACGAGTAAAAGTGACTTTGGATTCTTTCATATGAGAAAATTATTCAGCTAGATGATGGAAGGTTAGTGGTTTAACTCAAGTTCTCACTTGTGGTTTAGATAATACATGAAGGGGCACCTAAGGTCTTCCTTCACTAGTAAAGCTTGAAAGTCTCTACATGTATATGACCTTTACAATGTCACTTTGATTTACAATTTAGATAATAAAGGCCTAAAACCAATGTACAGATCAGTTTCAACTTTTCCTGTGCATTACTAAGAGTGCTGGGACCAGCATCCTGCTGTTATAGTTGATAGTTTATATAACTGATTTAATTTTTAACTGAATACAAGGCTTAAGACATGTTTTTTCGCTTTTCTGAAACTAAGCAGTCTGCTAGACATGTGCAGACACCTGACTTTGGAACAATTCTGGACTTGCATATATGCCATAAGTCACTGTTTTATAACAAACTTTCATGGTTAGAATCTTGTAGAAAATGAGGTTCATTCTCAATACATAATTCAGAACACACTAGTAATCACCAGCAATATTACATTGATTAAATACTATACTCATCGAAAAACCAAAAAAAAAACCCATTAGTATTGAGATATTTTTATGATAATACAGACATACATATAGGAATACAAACTAGCATATTACAGCAGTAATTTATTGGATTTTCTTTTCAGGTTAGGGATGTTTTTCAGTCCACTTGTACCCTTGATGACATTCTTAAAGTGCTTTATTTTCTTTTACCTTAGAAAGGTAAGATCATATTTTGATACATGTATTTATTAAAAAATTTATGATGAAATTTTTTTTTTCACATTGTGATGTCCGTATATTGTTTACATTTTTGTTTCAATTCAAACACAATCATTAATTTTTTTTTCTGTCAAAGCAGTTCATTAGAATAGATTTAAAATAGATACTGATGTAAAGAATAATTATAGGTATGATAGGTGTCTTATAACTGTGTGACACTTCTTTATAATTGGTCTCTTTTGTCCGCTTCCTGGAACTAACCAATACTGATGTTAAATGAGGAAACATGATTGTGACCAGAGTAGGGCTCGAACCCATGATCCCCTTGTTGAGAGGCAGACACCTTAACTTCTAGGACACTGCTCCCCTCAGTGGGTCTTTTAACACTTCAATCCACTTAGCTCAATAGGGAGAGTATCAGATTTGTAGTCAAGGAATTGGGAGTTCGATCCTCGGCGAGACAAAGTTAACTCCATGACAATTGATTTTTGACATTGAGTGTAATGGTCATTTGTATGTCTCTGATGATTTGAAAATCATCTGGGATTAGTAGTTGGTCACTTGCAGAGTAACTGATAATTACTGGTTAGTTATTCAGGAATACTGTTTAGGTGGACCAGCTGCTTATATATGACCAAACATGTATATTAAACTGACATAAATACCTGACAAAAGAAACTCCATTTAGGGCATTAATCAGCCAATTGAAACTTAATAGTTAAAAAAAATGCATACTTAATCTTGTATATAGCATGAGAATGATTAAAAAGCCAGATAAAACATACCATATTGTTCTAATATTGACCTGCTTTGATAATGATGCTAAATGATAAGAATCAGAGCAGCTGAGGTTGCCATTTAATCAATAAAGAAAATATAAATATTGCAGTTCTAAGAAATACACATGTATAGCCTAGTGTTTTATATTTGTTGTAATGTTTTACAGTGGACATTGTTGAAGAATTGTGCCGACACAGAGCTGACATATCGGACCTCAAGGTCACACTCATTGTTCATGTTTGTATTGTTGGTCTCCTTCATCCTAGCAACTGTTCCTGTAGGTTATATGATTAGCAGGTAAATGGTGTTTATAATATGATTTGTTATCATTTCTTTACAATGAGGTCTTACTTTGCCAGTAATAATGCCGAAAAGTTGCTTTTTTGATGGCTTTTCCATTGTTGATACCACTTAAAACTGAATAAAAATTGAAGTTTCATTGACACTTCACGTTGAAGAAGACCTACACTCATCCTATAAGCTATTTGACTAGCTTTTTCATATCAAAGAATTTTATGTCCAAAGTGGGATTCAAACTCATAGACACTTTTTGTCAGGAAATTTTAACCACCTAGTCTCTGAAGCCCTTGAGTATTATTCACTTAAAACTTAATCGAATTTTAATTAAAAGTAAAGTTTTTCAAAGACCTTTCCTTTAACTTTTTATACGCCCGTTTGAAAAACGGGACGTATTATGGGAACGCCCCTGGCGGGCGGGCGGTCGGGCGGGCGGGCGGCGTCCAATTTTGTCCGGAGCATATCTCCTACATGTATGGAAGGATTTTAATGAAACTTCATATAAATGTTCACCACTATGAGGAGCAGTGTCGCGCACATGAACCAGGTCTCTAGGTCAAAGGTCAAGGTCACACTTAGAGCTCATTGAAAAATGCTTGTCCGGAGCAAAACTTCCACATGTATAGAGGGATTTCAATATCACTAGGCACAAATGTTCACCATTGTGAGGCGGAGTGTCGCATGCAAGATTCAGGTCCTTGCGGCCAAGGTCAAGGTCACACATAGAGGTCAAAGTTCAGATAAAAATATGAAGATGTGTATATGGACCATTTAGTCATCATTTATTGAGGGATTGTAACACAAATGGTCATTATCAAGACTATGGCTGTGATACATATAATTTAGGTCAATATATACAAGGTCAAGGTCACTAAAGATGATGAAATATCCAGATTTTGTAAATAGAATTTAATCAAAGGGAGACAACAAAGTTATTACTTTGTTCATAAATGACTTACACAATTACTCCCCTTGATCCAATTTCACTTTCAATTCTAAAAATAGAATTTAATCAAAGGGCATAAAATAATCCTCTTTCTTGGACTTGAGTATGTTCTAAAGAATGTAACATTTATTTACACATGTTTCATTCATTGGTCAAGATTCTTAACTGTGATAACTATGGTGTTCTGTAGACTTGGTATTTGTTCATAAAGATCATACAGTAATTACCTTATCAAATGTAAATACTTTCTCATAGAAATTTAATTATATTTTAATTTTCAAGTAAATATCAGTTCAGCTCATTCAAAGATGAAGAATTGTAATGAAATGTATTTCCCTAGAATAAAATCTTAAATCAGAATTTTTTAGTTATTAAATTACATGTACTTTTTATACGCCCGTTTAAAAAAAGATAAAAATATGAAGATGTGTATAGGGACGATTTAATCATCATTTATTGAGGGATTGTAACACAAATGGTCATTATAATGACTACGGCTGTGACACATGTACTTTAGGTCAATATATGCAAGGTCAAGGTCACTAAAGATGGTGAAATATCCAGATTTTGTCTGGAGCATATCTCCTACATGTATGGAAGAATTTTTATAATACTTTATGGAAATATTCACCACCATGATATGTATTGCTCCATGCATGATCCAGGTCTCCAGGTCAAAGGTCAAGGTCACACTTAGAGCTCATTGAAAAACGCTTGTCCGGAGCAAAACTTCTACATTCATAGGGGGTTTTCAATATAACTTGGCACAAATGTTCACCATTGTGAGGCTGAGTGTCGCATGCAAAATTCAGATCCCTGCGACCAAAGTCAAGGTTCATAGAGGTCAAAGTTCAGATAAAAATTTGAAGATGGTTACAGGGACCATTTAGTCATCATTTATTGATGGATTGTAGCACAAATGGTAACTATCATGACTACAGGTGTTACACATTTAATTTAGGTTAATATTTGCAAGGTCAAGGTCACTGGAGATGATTAAATATCCAGATGTTGTCCGAAGCATATTTTCTACATGCATGGAGGAATTTTAATGTTACTTTTATAGAATTGTTCACCACCATGAGACGTAGTGCCCTGCACATAAACCAAGTCTCTAGGTCAAAGGTGAAGGTCACAGTTAGAGCTCATAGAAAAACACTTGTCTGGAGCAAAACTTCTACATGCATAGAGGGATTTCAATATAATTTGGCACAAATGTTCATCATTGTGAGGCTGAGTGCCGTGCATAAAATTCAGGTCCCTGCGACCAAGGTCAAGGTCACACATTCTGTGCATATCTTCCCTATTGATTTGTTTTAAGGTTCATTTAACAACACAGTGCCAAGAATAAAAACTTGCTTGCTAGATAACACTTATCCATAATGCCCCCATCTCCATCTAAAGCTTTTTCGTAAACGGGCGTATTTTGTGACTATGGCACCCTTGTTAAAACATTATAAACAAGGGGCACAACTTATTTGATCTTTGATGTAGACTTCCAAGAGTTATCTGTAATTTTATTCTTTGATATGTTCTGTAATTGTGTGCATAAAATGGCATTGGTCATACATTTAAAAGAAGCACAAAATATCTGAATTTCCTGATTTGATATTATTTCTGAGCTCACTGATTTGAGTGTACCATTCTACTATATGTTTCAGAAATGTTCACTGACTGTATCATGATTATTGTATATGTTTCAGCATTGCACCGAGTCAGAGTTGCGGACCATTTAGAGTTTATAGCTCACCTAACTACACAATGTTTGATTCATTATCTAACACGGTGAAGTCATGGCCAGAGACACTCAGAGATATACTTCTCTTTCTCAGCTCTGTCGCCTTCCTAGTGCCTGCTATTATTATACTCTGGTGAGTGATGTTTTATATAGAGGATATAGAATGTGTGTAGATTTAATACTAAATTTGTTGAACGATGTGAAAAAATCTAATTATGCAAGCCTTTGGTGCTGTAATGAACGAGGTCAATAAATTTAGTATTGTATCTGCATGAATATAAAAATCTGGAAACAAAGTGATCCCTCGGAAGCATCCATCACAACAAAATTACATGAAAATTGCAGACTTGGTTTGATTGAGACTGTACATGAGGGATAATGAATAAGTGCAACATCCCCCCGCGCCACCTAGCACTGGCTTGAGCGGTACTCAATTCTCAACACTTAAATAGAGCTGGCATCAATGATCCCGAAGGACCAGAAAAATATCACATATCTAAAAAAAGAATGACTTTCAGCTAAAATAGTCTGTTTTCATTACTGTGCCTATATTGTAGTGTAGCTTTCTTTAATGCTATGTTTGTATATTATGTAAATGATGTCAAGGTCTTATTACACTAGTGTAATATGGATAAGATAATTTATTTACGTTTACCCTGCTTTTTTTGTGTAAAAATTAATGAAAATGTCTTGTTTAGAATTTTAAACTTTCCATTGTTATGTTAACCCTTAACTTGCTTGAAACCTAAGTGATTAGCCTTTGTAACTAGTATAGAACCAGGCCTGGGCCTGCACATCTGTGCTGTCTGACCATGCTCTTTACTGTTGATAGCTAAATTTTTGTATTTTCATATTGGAATACCTTACCTTTTGAATGAACTGTTCCCAATTTAAAAAAGGCATACTTTTTACACATATTCAGCAGGTCATGGGTTGGGAAACTTTTACATAATAGTAAGAGAATAGAGTAAGTTACAGTATAGAGTTTGGTCACATGAATGTGCAAGAAGGCCTGGCTCTATACTTGTGGGAAAGACTGACAATTATCTTAGCAAGATCCGAAGGGTTCATTTTGGTTCAACATATTGTAAGGTCCATTGTGAAAAATGTTTGAAACTTACATGGACCAATCTGTAGTCTGCTTATTGGAACTAACCAGTACTGGTTTCATGATGATAAAGAAACATAGTTGTGACATGAGGAGGTTTGAACCCATGTTCCCTTGAATGAGAAGCAGACACTTTTACCACTTTGCCACATTTACTCTCATTCAGACAGCAAAAAATGGAAACTGTCAATTATTCCTGGATATATCATTTTAAAAATTTCAATCATTTTATAGGCAACCTTTACCTTTGTATGAAGAGTATATAATGAAAACTGTAAATTATACCTGCATTGATGTTTTTACAAATTTCAGTTTGCTCATGTATTATTTCTGGTTACTTGGGTCAGGATACAAGAGGAGAGAAGAAATTCTCAGTGAACAACTTAAAATGGTATGTTTAACATTTTTGTGAAACAAAATTGTAAAATGGTTTTAACATTTATTCTAACTACTTGTTGAGGCTCACAGGGAAGAAGACTGGGCTTGCCCAACTGTGTTGCCTCATTAAATAAAGTCATCACTTACTTACTAACTACTAGTGTTGCCTTATTATCTAAGCTTGCAATAATAATGGTGTACTAATCTCAGTTCATTCGTTAGTTTCTGAAAGTCATTACCGGTACCTGTTTCATTTTCAATTTGTTTGTGAGTCTAGATAAGCTAATATTTGTGACAATAAATTTTAAATGGGGACTTCTTAATTAGGATTAACATATTTAATTGTTGAAATTAGCAATGTTATGTGAAAAGAAACTAGCAATAAAGGAAAATAGTGGATGTTATTTTTCAAGAAAGACAACTGTTGCAAATATATAAATATCACATGTAAGGAGAGTTATCTTTCTTGTATTGCATATATATATATCTCAAATTCAGCAATGTTTTACTTTAGGCTTTGTCTTTTGTAATTTTAGGTAAATTGACAAGGGCATGGCAGAATTCATATATACAATAATGAGAGCCCATTTACATAAAAGTTTTCCATATCTTAGAAAGCAAAAATTAAATTCCCAAACAACAAATGTTTGCTCATGTTACAAATTTTGTAATTATTTTTGTATAAATTTTATAGTTATTATTAGGATAAGATCTATTATAAACATAAAGCCTTGCCTACTTGTATTTGCAGGTCTCCAAAGATAAACAGTTCTTGTTAGCCAGAGTTAATGAAGTTTTGATGCACGCAGAGACGTGAAAATATATCTACATATTAACCTTATATGTGTTCTCACGATGTTATTATAATTATTATATTTGAGTATATATAACACCGACACAAACTATGCAATCTATGTGAGCTCAGATTTTGAAATTTTGAGATTCAGATTGACATATGTGTATACACCATATATCATATATGTTTCATTATGTAAATTCTGGAAGTGTGTTAACATAGTAAAATGATATAATGTTCTGACAATGATGCATAGTAAGGCAAGTGCAGGAGGAAATATTTGAGATCAGTGATAAAATATGTGATTGAAATATGTATAAAAGGGCATTTTGTGTAACTTTCCTGAATGCAAAATCATGAAATATGTATAAAAGGGCATTTTGTGTAACTATTCTGAATGCAGAATTAAACATATTTTTTTTTTTTTTTTTTTTTTGAAATTGAAGTGACATTATTCCTATCCAAGGGTATATTAAGGAGTGAACAGGTGAGAGTTAAAATAAAATAACATTTGCCATAATTCCTTTTAATTTTATAAACTTGTATGAACAATACATTACTCACATGGCTCCAGGAATATTCTCTAAATATCTATCAGAATTTACTTTTAATGTTCAATTTATAAAAAGGGTGGGGCAGTTTTATATTTAAGGCAGATTATATTTCATCCTAAACATATATCAGCTGCTGGTTAACTTCCATTATAACATTTAATCTTTTGAGATATATAGCCATTACAGCTGCTGTACTTGACAATGAAAAAATGAGTGTAATGGCACTTAGAGCATAATACTTACATTAAAGTAATCTCAAGTGATAGAAAGTATTCAGTTTAAAATAAGAACTAAAAAATATCCCTGGCACTGTGACGGCTGAATTTTACTTATAATGGCTGTGATTTCTGTACTGATAAGGGGAAGTAATTGCTGCAAGGAATTAAAATTTTTGTGTTTTTTTTAAATAACAGTTCCAGTTTTTAAGCAGCACGCCTCCAGATTCATGTTAATTTTCATGAAAATTTTGGAAATGTATTTAAAAGTAAAATATTGAGAGGTGAACAAATAAAGCAATTTACATATTGCAATCGGCACTTAAAGTTAAAAAAAATTACCAAAAAGTAGTCAACATATGCATAAACAGCACTCACTGTGTTAGTAGCATAGTAGAAATATGGTGATAAAATACTACAAAATCAGTCTGAAACTGCACATAACATGTAAAATATAACTTGGATCTTGTCAATGGATGTTTTCACCTTTCTTAAAACTTTTAGTACATTTTCTCAATATTGATTTTCTTGAAATATTTTGGCTCACCTTTAAATATAGAAGTTCATATTGGTACATTAGCACTGGATTTATTTTTCTAATCACTTTTGGTTCAAACACGTCAATAGTTAAAACATTTTTCTTAATATTGTTGGAATTCTAAAAAAACAATAAAAAAATCAGAATACATTTCTTTGTTATTCTGATTTTTTGATTTGGTGCAATGTGTTGTTTTTTATATCTGTGCAAATATTTATATTTTAAGGAGCACTATGTGCAATTTGATCGTGACTGTTTGTTAGGAAAGGTTTTGTTTTCCTAAAGAGTCTTATTGTAAGCATGTTTAGATGTGGAGATGTATCGTTAAAGGTGCATATTTCTTTTTCTATTTGTATACTTAGGTATTTACCAATTGAATCATGTCAAATGGTTATTTCATATACTTATATTCATCTTTATATGTAAATAACTTACTTTCAAGGGATTTAACTAATACTTCAATAAAAGTGTTAACAAATTTGTTGTGAAATTATTTTTCACAGTATTAGCGGTAAGATCTGAACAAAAATGTAGTTCTGAATAGGGATTAAAGGAACTCAACTGAGGTCCAAAAGCCTTAAAACGAGCATAAATAGATCAGCTGGGGCACTTAAAACAGACAGATATCCAAAAGATATTAAGAAATACACATGAAAAAAAATGAAACCATATTCTAATGATAGTATTAGCCCTATTTGAGTGAAAAGCATTAAAGCAATTAATTGCTTACTTCAATGACGGACTGGCGTTTGACTACTTAAAAAAGAAAGTTATGCGAGCAGACCCTAAAACTTCAGACAAGGCTGTGGCCATTGCCTCTGCTGAACAAAGTATCAGAAAAAGGTTTACTTTAAGGGCAGGGCATGAGTTTGATAAGCCACAAAGATTACAACGCTTTCCAAATTTTGATCGTTTTTCATAATTAGAATAATTATTCTGGAAAAAAAACAGAGTGAGCAAATGGTCTGAAATTTTGGACCTTCGACCTACATCAAATCTAACTTTAATATTGAAAAAAATATTTCGTGTCCAGTCATGTCAAAAAACCACAGTAGAGTCCCTTTAAGGAAAATAAAAGAAGTTCTAACTGTGTGTTAATATATATTATGTTTTGTGCCAACTGAGGCATTTTTTCTGACTATGTGATACTATATTGTTTCTTTTACTTTACTAATTATGTACAACTATTTTGTCTTCCAAATGATTTAAAAGTGTGTATTATTTGCATGTCAAACAAGGTTGTATTCAAACTACATATAATTATGTAATATGTATACTTTAATAATGTGTGAAAATTGTTATGTATATGTAATGCTATGTACAATGATGTTGAAGTTAAGTGGATCTGTATCAAAAACAAAATGCTTTCCTTGTCCATTGATCTAAAATATGTACCAAAGAGATCAAAGTAGCTGTTTAAGGTAGACCATGGGTAATGCATAACCTCCACTTTGAAGAGTATTCAAATAGGCTAGACTCGCTTGTAAACTACATTGAAATTGAGGGGCCTGGGTTCAAACCCCAGAAGGGGCAACTTTTTTTTCTTTTTTTTTTCTTTTTAACATTATTTATGTATCTCTCTGATGCCTTATGGAAGAAAGAAGTTTTATTTAAATTATATAATTATTATAGGCATTTTTTTTGCTAAATAATGCCAAAATTTATAGCAAATATGATACCAGATATTTTCAAAGTTCGATAAAATAAAAACTACACGGTAAAAGTATTTTATATTTCGCATGATCAACTAATATACCTTTAAGAAAATTTAGGCAAACTTTGTAAACAGACCCTCATTTCAGTAAATTTTAGGGATATTTTGAATAAGGCATTTTAGATAGGGAAATGGTAAAATTAGTGTTAAAAGTGGGTGGGATAGGGTAACATTTTTAGACATATTAAGAACATTTTGTTTAGAAACAAACATTTTGCTAGTGTAATGTGTTACCTGAATGTTATTATTTGTTTCTTAACAATGAGCAATAGAAAAACATTTTTTATAATGATGATATTACAGATTATTTACAGTTTTCTCATTTCTGAAAATAAGCCCTTCTAATGACAAAGTCTTAGTTCAGAAATATATCCATAACTCATAAACCTCACGGTAAATTTTATTTGAATTTTGCATACAGGTGACCTTGAAGACATATAACTGTCCTATGTTGTCAATTTTACAGTTCCTTATGGTGCCCATTACCCATGGTCTACCTTAATGAAAAAATAAAAAGATAAATATGACTTTACTCAGTAGGGCAATATGACTTGACTATGCAACTAATTTAGAGCCAGGTCTGTCACAATTTACATATTTTTATGCAGTCTGACTTGACTGTGTACAGTTTGCTGATTTTATTTTAGAATTTTAATACTGAAATCTCTTAGAAAAATTATGGCCTATTCCATATTCCAAATAGGACAAGTCAAATACACAAAAGAGGGAATTTATAAATCAGTCTTAAGGTAATAAGTTTATGCACCAATCAATTGTAAAACCTTCCCTTTAACTGATCCCCATCCCCTGAGGCAGTGCAAAGAATAGCAGGGGAAAATAGCTTCTCGTTTTTGCCTTCTTTCCTGCCACTGCCAGGTTAGTGCTAAAGTTTTGTTTTGATATATCAAAATAGCAGCGAATATGTCCAACTCGCAGTTCAGGGTGTTTAGTGGGAATTTTATACCATTTGACAGTGTTAGATGAACAAAAGTCAAAGTCCTCACTATTTCTCAAGGCAGGTGGGGGATCTAGGATTTCAACTGATTGGTGTGTTATGAGAGGCAAATTATAAATTGTATTGTTAGAGCTGACATTGGTTGAAAGAGGAAATCACGAAAGGTAATACATGTATAGTGAGTTTGTTGCCAGATACAGAAAGAAGACGAAAGGTAATAGAGTGATTCTGTCAACTCAGGTGAAACTGTATCTCTTGTATAATGATAACTTTATAATGTTTTGTAAACAAGCAATGAAACTATGTTGAAATCCATATTGTTTAATATAGTCTGACAATCCTAGTTGTTCTATACATTAATTATTTTATTATAATACCATAGACTTGATATTTATATCCAATTTAAGTATTAACATAATCATGCAATATTTACAAACTTTCTAAAAATCAATTATGTTAATATTCTTTTCTTCAATCCCACCTATGTTGCTACAAAAACTCTTGTCACTCTAATATTCCTAGCTTTATTTGCTTTTAAAGCCCATGGCTTTTAATAATATTTGCCATTGAGAATCTGATGGCTTTTAATAATATTTGCCATTAAAGCTGATGGCTTTTAATAATATTGGCTATTAAAGCTGATGGCTTTTAATAATATTGGCTATTTAAGCCCATGGCTTTATTTGCTATTAAAGCCATGTAATTATTTGATTACCTTTTACACAATTTCTTTAAACTTGTATAATGGTAGCACCTATTGCCATCAGAAGACTCACTATTCTGCAAATGTGTACAGCAAATTAAGACTGTTTTCTTTAAACTTCTCATTTTAGAACTGCTTCCATATGTTTACTTAGTGCTATTCTTATACTTTCCACCTTTGTTATTGTTTTATTTCTTTGTGTATTTTTTCTGTGGAAAATGAATGCAACTGATCATGTTATGCAAATTAGAAAAACAAGTAAAATATTAAGATATGCATATTTTTTAATTTTGAAACATTGGAAATTTTGTTCTTTTGATTATTACTCAGGAAAGTATTGTTTTAACATTGAAAGTTGACAAACTTCTTGTAAAAAGAATATATCTTATTTAATAAATGCAACTGAATGTGTAGACAATCGATATATAGACTTCTTTAACTTTATGATATTTAACTCAGTGCACTCAGGCTTGTTTAACCTTTACCCTGCTAAAACCAGAAATAATTAGCCTTTGCCACCAGAAATGATTAGCCTTTGCCACCAGAAATGATTAGCCTTTGCCACCCAATGATTAGCCTTTGCCACCAGAAATGATTAGCTTTTGCCACCCAATGATTAGTCTTTGCAACCAGAAATGAAATGCCTTTACCACCAGTTGATTAGCCTTTATCACAAGTTGATAAAGCCTTTGCAACCTGTTCATAATTCTTTGTCACAAGTTGATTAGCATTTGCAACCAATTGATTAGCTTTGGCTACCAGTTGATTAGCCTTTGTTAACCATTCATTAGCCTTTGCCACCCATTGATTAGCCTTTGCCACCAGTTAATCAGCCTTTTCCACCAGTTGATTAGCCTTTGCCAACCATTCATTAGCCTTTGTCACCCATTGGTTAGCATTTGCCACCCATTGATTAATTGATTAACTTTTGCCACCCTTTAATAAATTCTTTGCCACCAGTTGATTAGCCTTTGTCACCCACTTATAAAGCCTTTGGTGACAGAAATAATGAACCTTTGCCACCCATTGATTAGCCTATTCCACCCATTGGTTACCCTTTGCCACCTGTTGATAAGCCTTGGCCACCCATTGATTAGCCTTTGCCACCAGTATAAAACTAGGCCAGCCCTACATTCTTTTCAGTCTGACCAGGCTTTATCTAGGCTGTTTGTAGCTGACTTTTAGTACTTTGATATCTTTTTGTACTTGAAATCCCTCACACTTTGGATGGACTGTTCCAAATTTAAAGCAGGGCAAATCCATTATACAGATTCAGCAGGTTAAGGGTTAACTAAGTACAGCTGTAAGCTTTGTTCAGCATCCTGCAAAACTAAATTGTTATGATTGCAAGATATTTTTCTAAGTGAAAAAATACTGAAGAATTATTGTACTAGATGGTGTGCACATAATTCCAATCCAAGGTATCATAATAGGCTAAAATACAATTCTTTTAAAAGTTGCTCAACTCGAGATAAATTGTCCAATTTTCAAAATGTCAAATGTTTGTGTGCATACCAAGTTCAGACGGCACAGATGTGCCAGTGGACTTTTTTCTGCAGTGGTGGCATAGGTAGATGTAGTTGATGCCAGCAGGCTTGGAGCTAATAATTTGATAAACAATCTTTGATTTTTTTAAAAAATAAAAAAAATAACACAGTCCAAAGAAAGAATACTATTGCTTCAAATTTGCTTGAAAATGGGTGTTATCTTTTATGAAGTATTTGTTGTTAATCTTGTTATTTTCAAGTTATCTATGTATGGATCTCTGTATAGCAAGGTTGAAAATATTTATTTAATACAGTGCAACCTTTTTATAGTGGCCCACTTTAGAGCAATAGTTTATTGAAAATAATACTGAAATTTCTTCCAAAATTAAGATTTCAAAATAGATTTAACCTCACAAAAGCAATGCCTATACGCTATTATCAACTGACGTCTTCGTCTTCTAGGGGATGTTGATATGTATAGGTTTCACTGTATTTATAAAAGGTGTTGCTCTGTTCAGGTTTCACTGTATTTATAAAAAACAATACTCAGTGTACAAGTTTACATTCCATGCTGGTATTTTACTTACACATGCTTAAATGTCTTTTAATATTTTCCCCCTGTTTAAACAATATTTCAAATATATTATTGTACACAAGTCTGTGACTTATTAAATATTTCTTTATATACATGTATATTCAAACAAAATTTTACTTTTAAGAATCTCTTATTAAAGTATATTTATTTGTTTTTGTAAGTAGTGGTGTAGAATGAATGTTATCAAATATGTATCACTGTTAAAAACTAATATATAACTTTTTACCATTTTATTTGAAAGTAACATTTTATGTTTTTATATTTATATAGGTAAATTTACTTAAACAACCAAATTTACAGAATTGGTAATAATTTGATTATCTGTACCGAGGGGAAAAACAAAAAGAAAAACGAACTAAAAATCTTCCATTGTCTTTCTGTATTTTACTTTGTGTTCTTTTATGTTCCTTTTGTATCCATTATCTGTTATTTTTTGCATAACAGTTTACTGAGATATGTCCCAAAAATTTATTTGTTTACTTATTGAAAAATATACTTTGTTATTATTTTAGAGTAGAAATTATGTGTAGTTATTATTATAAAAAGGAGTTTTTTGTTACCATAGTTTATATTGAATAATAAATCTTTGAAAATACTCTAAGACTTTTTGGATTCATTGTTGTTATTTAAAGCCTGTTCTTGTATTTATGGTATGTGCAATATGTAAAATACAAAAACTGTGCCAAAAGATACTGTGAAAAACGAAAATAATGAAAAAATCATGGTATTTCCCTTGTAAATTTACAAAATCATCATAAAATACCATAGCATTCCCATAACTATTAATAAGCCTTAACAGTCTAACTTGAGGTAACGGTCCCTTCCGAGTAGCAATCACTTGCAAACAAAACAGTCATGTTGATTTACTCCTGATGAAAATCTATATTTGAATATAAGGGTTATTAAGATTAAGCTGTTATATGTATATGCTAGTTAGTGGGGGCAGAATAATAATCCCACAAGCCT